ACACCGGTCGGATACAACTCCGGTCGGATATGACTCCGGTCGGATACAACTCCGGTCGGATATGACTCCGGCCGGATATGACTCCGGTCGGATATGACTCCGGTCGGATATGACTCCGGCCGGATATGACACCGGTCGGATACAACTCCGGCCGGATATGACACCGGTCGGATACAACTCCGATCGGATATGACTCCGGTCGGATATGACTCCGGTCGGATACAACTCCGGTCGGATATGACTCCGGTCGGATACAACTTCGGTTGGATATGACTCCGGTCGGATATGACTCCGGCCGGATACAACTCCGGTCGGATATGACTCCGGTCGGATATGACTCCGGCCGGATATGACACCGGTCGGATACAACTCCGGCCGGATGTGACTCCGGTCGGATATGACTCCGGCCGGGTATGACTCCGGTCGGATACAACTCCGGCCGGATATGACACCGGTCGGATACAACTCCGGTCGGATATGACTCCGGTCGGCTATGACTCCGGTCGGATACAACTTCGGTCGGATATGACTCCGGTCGGATATGACTCCGGCCGGATACAACTCCGGTCGGATATGACTCCGGTCGGATATGACTCCGGCCGGATATGACACCGGTCGGATACAACTCCGGCCGGATGTGACTCCGGTCGGATATGACTCCGGCCGGGTATGACTCCGGTCGGATACGACTCCGGTCGGATACGACTCCGGTCGGATATGACTCCGGTCGGATATGACTCCGGGCGGAAATGACTCCGGTCGGCTATGACTCCGGTCGGATACAACTTTGGTCGGATATGACTCCGGTCGGATACAACTCCGGTCGGATATGACTCCGGTCGGATATGACTCCGGTCGGATACGACTCCGGTCGGATATGACTCCGGTCGGATATGACTTCGGTCGGATATGACTCCGGTCGGATATGACTCCTGTCGGATTGGATATGACTCCAGTTCGAGTCGGAAACGACTCGGGTCGGATACGTCTCAGCCCGGACATAAATCCGGCCGGATATAACTCCGGTCGGATATGACTCCAATTGGATATGACTCCGGTCGGATATGACTCCGGTCGGATATGACTCCGGTCGGATATGAGTCCGGTCGGATACAACTCCGGTCGGATATGACTCCGCGCGGATATAACTCCGGTTGGATATAACTTCGGCTGGATATGACACTTCACGGACCGGCCGGAGTCATATCTAGCCGGAGTTATATCCGCATATCTTTTAGACGAAAAATTAAAGAAAAGTGAATATAAAAAATGAGTAAAACGATTTTGTAAATGTGCAGTATTAAATAGAGGTTATTATAAATAAATACTGTAACATTGTCTAATATTTATAAGAATTATATAAAATGAATTACAAGCTTAAATTTAAACTATATAAGTGAGGTTTAGAACTTTAGCAAGAATTAAAATTAAAGTCGACTTTAATTAAAGATCTTCTAAATTATTTTTGAGATACAAAAAAAATTTTTTTTCAAAAGCAATTATTTTGTCAACACAAGCAGAAAGTTTTTTGATTTATTCAAATCGGATGCTTAATTCTCTCAAAAATTGGCATTTTTTTTAACATTTGGCTCTGTATCTTCGAAATGACTTTGGCAAAGGCAAGTCGCTGGACTCATTATCACTTCTTCAATGAATGAATGTTTTTTAGATCATTCAAATCGAATGCTCTGTTATCTCAAAAACTCGATATCTATTTTCTGCACCTTTTGCTCTGAACTCTACTCTAAACTCTACTTGTTTATCTATGACTCTTCTAAACAGCACATCTCCCTATCAATAAAAATCGAATATTTTTTTAACCATTCAAATCGGTTGATCCGTGCGCCCAAAAACGTGAACAAAAAAATGCGGACACACAAAACACACACACACATCAATTTTTTCTGAGGTATACCAAAATATTCAGAAACCTTCAAAACGTGGAGAAAAGCAAAAATTTCCGTTTTCGATTTTCGGCCCATTACCATAACCTTCTTTTATATATATATATATATATATATATATATATATATATACTAGCACATCCGAAAAACTCCGTTTCGCCACCAGATGTTTGTTTTATAATTGAAAAGGAAAAATTTGATTTTATTACACAACAGTAATGAATTTATATCGATTACAAAAATGAAGCATTTTTTCGTTGAACATCTCTAAATAAATGAAAGTGAATCCGCAAATTATCCGTTTCATTTAAGGGCTCTTTGGTAAACCACATTTTTTGTTTTTTGGTCTGACGTTAACACGAACAAAGCGGATGGTTTTCCAACTCGTGAACAGGCAACGTACAACTGCCCATGTGAAAAACAATGATTTTCTAAATAATCTATTTGAAATTTATCCCGCAGCGATAGCCTTGCGACTTGATATTGCGAACGCAAGGCAAACTGGAAATTGCAATCGTTTGAAGTCAAACGGAAGACCAGTCGGAATCATTGTTATGGCACCAAATCGCCAGCAATTTTTGATTGAATGGTTTTTCATGGTCAGTGCGTGTACATCATTATTCTTTGCGGCAAGAATTGCTCATTGACTTAACCAAGCATAATTCTGATAATTCTCACTAATGTCATTACTCGAATTTTTAGATAATCTATTTGAAATTACTTAAAACAATTATTGATTACTTTCATTACTCGTGTTTTTAATTACGGTGCGTGAAGTTCCAGCAATTTGCACAGAGGCACGATGGCATGCACCACTAATTTTCTTAACTATAAACCTTGCGCAGCCCGAGACCTTTCCAACGAATGCAAAATTGTCGAAATCGGTTCGTGCGTTCTGGAGTTAAATCGTCAGGAAGGAAAACCTGACTTATTTTTATATATATGTATATATATACATATATACATAGATAATATTTTAATATAATTTTAATATATATACATATATACATATATATATATATAGATTTTAATATAATCTTCTTTTAGCTATGGCCATAACTGCCCTACGGAAAGTTAATAAACATGATGTGATTACTAATTAATAATTTCACAAATTTAAATTGAATGAACTTACCTGTATCACCCAAAATCTTCAAGAAACTGGAACTAGTATATTAAGCTCATCTTAAGCTTTCCAACAACAAGACCACAATGACGACCATTATTGGTGGTTAAGCTACGAATTGGGTTAAGCTTAAGCTATCTAAATAGTAATAATAATTACATATATTAACAGTAAAGGGCCCTACTTGTTTATCTATGAAAGGGCCGTTACCGTTACCAACAAAATAATTCCGTCAGCTCAGCTGCTTCATCTGGCTTCATTCTTCATTGAAAATGACAGATCATAACAGCTAACAGTCAGGCCGTGACATTTAGCTAATAACCTAACAAAGCTGATACTGAAAGAAATAGAGCGGCATGTTGTTAATTAAAATTTTAATGAAATAATTTATTGATTATATAAAAATTTATTATATATAAATAGACTAAATATATATTATAACTCAATGCTAAAAAAAATCTAATTGGCATTCACATTTATAAGTTACATAAATATTTAAAAATTCTTTCTCTAGATTTAAAATATGGCAAAATATTTGGCCAGGCAGGGTAAAATGTTGACAAAGATCATGCATGGCACTAATAAGAAAAAGTATGAATCATATTATATCTAAAGTAATTACTTTGCTGTACAATATTAACAATAATTTGAATTCAATTAGAAAATTTCGCTTTGATGTTGTGCCAACAGTTCTTCCGACACCACCATCAATAAGCAAAGCTAACAAATCCCAAGGTTCTTCTAAACGACGGACATTCGTATTAAATAAATTGTTTATGAAATATATAACTGAAATTATGGCAATGGGAGCAATAGGTAGTGACATTCTTGGTCATGGAATCGAAATATCAAGAGTAAGTCACATCAAAACCCTCCATTATAATTATCATAAACCAAAGGTAAAAATATTTATTTGCAAATTCATTATAGGTAAAGATCAATTCAGATTTTAATAAAGTTAATGTATATTGGCTTGCAAAGGGCACAGAAAAAGATACTGAGATAGAAAATATTCTCAAATTAAATGCGACGCAGCTTAGGCATGAATTATCACAATTGAGAGTAATGGGAGAAGTCCCACGCATTGAGTTTGTTAAAGGTAAAATATGAAATGAATAATATATATATATATATATATATATATATATATATATATATATATACTATATAACTAATGGAACAGAATTATTATTGTTAGATAAATATTATGCTACTATTGCTGAAGTTGATGAATGTTTAAAACAAGCCGATTTTGGACCTGATTACACACCCAGCATTGATTACAGCAATAAACTGCGATCTGAGTTCACTCTAAATATGCCTTTATCACAAGAAATCAAAGTATCAATGCTTTATTTCGTTATATTTAATGCTATAAAATTCAATCTAATTATTTGTAATAATTTTGCAGAATAAACTATCACTTTTAGAAAATGATACCAAAGAAGATGCAGTTTGCAAGATTGCAAATAGCTTACCTGTAATGACTTCAAATGTATATGGACTGGACCAAGCTAAAATTATGGAAAAAGTGAACATTAAAATAAACCTATTATAAAATATACTTGAAAATAAGTGTGATATTTTGATTTTTATTTTTAAGGTAACAAAAGCAGTTAGACAATCAAACCTAGCATGGGAAAAATCTAAATCTAATATAGTATTTACAAACGAAGGACTTGCACCACAAAATATGGATTATTTTCAAAATGCGCAAACTGGAATGCAGAATGTAATATATGAAGAAAGAAAAGAAAAGTTTGCTGAATTTTTGAGAATGCGTCAAATTGAGAGAAATAAGGCGATGAGAAAAGAAAAACATAAAGCTGAACTTGAAAAAGAATTTATTTTTGACAGTATCAAAAGTGAAGAATATGATGATAATGATGATGATTATGATTATGTGAATGAAGAAGATGATGATTTAGAAGAGATAAAATAATCATCATTTTTATTTTTGTGTTAGTACTTTAGAAATAAATTTATCTTTTTTGTTTATAATAGTTGGCTTTTATTCAGTGTATTTAAGGATGCATCAATTGAAGATAATGAAAAGTAAGATATATTATCTATCCCAGCTCTTGTGATTAACACTGGAACATTGTCATTTAATTGATATTTTGCCTTTCTTATACAGATTTCACATGGCAAATCTTGATCTAAATTTCTAAAAATAAATCTGAAAATTATAATATATTTTATCACTACATTTTATTTAGAAACCCATCCAACCTTAATAAAATGATTCTATAAGAAGGAGAATTGCATGAAGACTTCTTGAAATCACGCTTTGGTCTATAGAGATCAAAGTCAAAAATAAGTTCAGTGTGATTACACGCTTCAGTCAGATTTCCAAATACTTGAAGGTTTCTAAAAACATGTCCAAAATCTGGATATCTACTATCATTCTTAAGTACTGATCCTATTATTAAAAAAATAATGTGAATATTAAATGGATTGTAGTATCATTATTAATTGTAGAAAATACCTTTTTCAACTAGCTTCAATTTTTTGAGATTTGAATCATTAGTTTGAAGATCTGAATGTTTTCTTTTAAGATCGGTATAAAGATTATATTGATTATCACAGTAGATAACTTTTGAGGTACTTTCAGGACTATCTTTTTTTAAACTAGAGCTGGATGGAGGACTTTTCCTGACAATATTTCCTTGATTATTTCAACAATTTTTGAATCACAGATTTGAAAAAAACAGTCCATAATGCTATTACTCACTTATTTCTTTTAGGATCATGCCTAAAAATGATGTATCCAAATCTACGTAGTTGTGCATAAACTCTATAACAATCTATAAAATTTACGATATCTTTGCCAACCACGGATCTCACTTGTTCCAAAGACATAGGAACATTTTTATAATTCAATTGTAATTGACTCTGAATAAAATAGGATAGCTTAAGAGTTAAAAATTATTCATAAGAGTTAAAAATGACTTACACTTTCTAATAGAAAGGTGATTTCAAATGGATCTATTAGTGCATACTTTTGTACCAATTGTAGCCCAAATCTTGCTAACTTGACGAGTAACCACAGCTACATTTTCTTCTGGTAACTAGAATATGTACATTGAAATCATTGATTTGAAATGTTTTTCAATGGGATAGAAAAATTAAAATAATAAATCAAATCATTCAATTAATAAAAAAAAATCTAATTCGAGATCTTCAATTAATATATATTTAATATTCATTCATGATTGTTTCATTAATAGTTGCTCACTTACCCATTCAGCCACAGAAAGATGCTCAACTTTCTCCACTCTACTAGCTTTTATAAAACTATATGTTTCACTAAGGTAAGATTCGGTCTGCGAGTTGAAAATAAGGAAGGCATTAAAATACTTTGAAATAAAAAAGTATATTATCTATAAGAATACCTTTTCCTTGATATCTAAAACTTCAGTGGTCGAAACAAATTTTGTTTCTTTTCTGGGCTTAGGTTTCAGTTTAGCGTATTGACTGTGTTCAAATAATAATTCACCAGCGCTAAATATTTTAAATATGAATTTTAATTCAAATAATATATGAATATCTGTACTAAGTATAATTTATTTTATACCTCAAGTGCTTGAACATATTGAATTTTTTAGGTTATTAGTTATTGCATCCTAACACTAAAATGTGACACATTAGGGTTAACTTTACATAGATTAACCGTTATTTTTTAATATGATTATGCCAGAGTTAGATTTTATTTTTAACTTCCGAAGGATTGGATAAGGTTGTTTTTGCCAGAAACTCCGTTTCAAATAAATCTGAATCGTTTAACTCAAAATTTAAGAATATGTGTCTGTATATATGTGAGATCTTTCATCGAGGTTTTCTTCAAAGAGGCTGAACCAGTTTTAAGGATTTAAAAGCCGTTTGATGAATGTTAATGAAATCTAGCTTTTATTAACTTCCCGAAAGGTCAGGTTTATGTTTTCACAAAAAAAATCGATTCACTAATGAGGCCAAATTTGGAAAAAGCATGTGTGTGTGTGTGAACAGTTTTTTTTGTCGTAAATCAACGTTTTCTCAAAAACGGCTGGACCGATACTAAAATTTTAAAAGCCATTCGATGTATTTCGATGATTTGTCAGTTTTGTGCGACGATCGGCCCGGAATTCTGAATCGATTTTGAAAATTCAAAAACCGTTTAAAAGATATTGGTTGGGAATCGTGCTGATTAGTTTTGGGTGGGATCGGCTGGACTGTTTTCTTCTAATAAAGTGTTAAAAAAAAATTTTTTTTCAATATTGTTGAGCGATTTTTCTGTCCTACAGAGTCCTACTTAAGTGATTTGTCTGTTCATGACCATTCCATTTGGAAAGCCACGAAAAATATGAGAAGACCAACCTCAACGGTATCTCCAATTAGAAATGATGATGGTTCTTGGTCTAGATCAGCAGAAGACAAGGTTATTACCTTTGCAAATCACCTTGAAAAGGTCTTCACTCCTCATCCTTGTAATGTACCTAACGATCAATTCATCACAGATTACTTGAATGACGGTAATTTTATAGACGAGCCCATTCCAAAAATTAAGTATTCTGAGATAAGGTAAGGTAAGAGATTTTTAACTATATTATTTAATGCCATGTATTTTTTGTATGCCAGAAACGCTATTTCATAATAAAATATTAAATTAAATATATATTCATAATTATAATTTAAGTTTTACACCACAATAACCAATTAAATTCAAGATCATTGTCATTCATATTATCACTTATATCAAGATGTTGACTGCTTGATATTAGTTCAATCTGATCAGAATGATTTTCATTACAAGAATTGTAATTTAAGCATTCTCTTGAATCAGATGTATCTTTATAAATCCTAGG